GTTAAAATACCAAAATATAACAAAAATATAATATCACGTTTTCAACTTGATCAATAATAGGTTCTCAGCAATATAAGGTGTATGTGTTATAACATTTAATAAGTATGAGTATATGTTGAAGTTTTCATAAGATTCAATACTTTCAATTTTTGACCCAATCTAACACCAAAACGGTGTCACATGACCCTTTACTATAGAAAACTGCATACAATTGCCCTAGATCATCCATACAATGCATTTTGATGCAAAGTTTTGATATGACCCTTCAAAAAAAATGTAATAGTGTTAATTTGCCATTTTAAATCAGTAAAAAATAAAATGATTAGTATAAATTTACAAAACATGTGCATAAAAAGCTTTATTAATTAAGCTTTCAAATGGTATTTATTTTGTTTTATTATTATTATTATATATATATATATATATATATATTAATAATAATAATTTCANTATAAGTTATTAAATGTTTAAAACTATACAAAGACTATGGGACACCTTGTATAAAATCTGCGCTAAGTCTTACAAGGGAACCTTACAGACTCAGGAATTCAGTTCGAGATGAGACTTTGCAGGTTAGTAGTATACCTCAAGGGTGTCCACCCAGAAGAATTGTAAAGTGCACTAGCCAGAAGATTCTGAGAAAAAGGACTCTAAAATTTTAAGCACAGCTCATATACTGGTTGATTTTACACTATAGCAGCACAGCAAAATGGCTGAGTCTGTATCGAACGCGCTTGCCATGCGGGCAATCTAGATTCGATCCTACCTTTAGCTAACTTTTTTTAAATTGTTTTATAAATTATAACAACTTTTAAATAAAGTTACCTAAAAATATTATCAATTAAATTATAAATAATTTTATTTTATTTATGAAATGACTGTTACAGCTAATTAAAATGTAAATTAACAATATAAAGATAATACTTTATTTTTAAAAAGTTGAATAATTTCAAATGCATTTTTAATGGAGGTAAATTAAAACTTTAATTACTATTGTCATTAAAAAGTTATTACAGTAGAGTCCTGAAAACTCGGCACTCCAGATAACTCGGCCACACCCTGGCAGGGCAAAAAAACCTCTACTTAGTTTTCATTATAGACAGCTTTATGCTTCTTAAAGTATTTTCCTGAGGTCTGTCTTATCAGGTAAATTACTGTACACTGTGTATTCATTAATTTTCATTTTCATGTAGTAAAGGCTCTATGCCTTCATAAAGTATGTACTTTTCCTTTGTTTAAGGTTATTTGGGCAGTTTATTCTCTGTTGTATTTTCAAACAAGCAATACATACAAGTACAGTACAGTATTTTCTGAGGAAACACTCGTATTTATTCTTTTTTAACTCCATTCCGGATAACCCGGCATTTTCACAAACTCAGCCACCCTTTGGTCAACATTAGGCCAAGTTTTCAGAACTCTATTGTACAAATTTTTAAGATATTGTAAGCTGTGGAGAGGTTAAAAATATTCATTGTAAATTTGAGGAACTGGTTTCTACGTGGAAGAGAAGAGTATAGCTGTTGGTTATTATTTATGATTTAATTGATAATATTTTTAGGACATTAATATTATTTAAAAGTTGCTATAATTTTTAAAACAACTAAAAAAAAAAAAAGTTAGCTAAAAGTAGGATCGAATCTAGATTGCCCGCATTGCAAGCGAGTTCGCTACAGACTCAGCCATTTAGCTGTGCTGCTATAGTGTAAAATCGACCAGTATATGAGCTGAACTTAAAATTTTAGAGCCCTTTTTCTCAGAATCTTCTGGCTAGTACAATTTATAATTCTTCTGGGTGGACATTCGAGGTATACTACTAACCTGCGAAGTCTCATCTCAAACTGAATTTCCGAGACCGTAAGGTCCCCTTGTTAGAAGTATCTGAACACCTATAAGATATAAGTTTTTTTTTAGTTATAATTCGTTCCTCACATGAAATAGGAAAAAAAATAATGATAGATGTGAAATCAAACTTTTTTTATACTAGAAAAAGTATTTACATATGCAAAAAACATTAAGATGACCAAGACAAAACCTTTCTCACTTGTTTCTAGCCGTTTATACACGAGTACAAACATTTTCGGCCTTCTTAATAAAATGTTCATACTCGTGTATAAACCACTAGAAACAAGTGAGAAAGGTTTTGTCTTGGTCATCTTAAAATAGTTCTAGCTCCAAATGCATAGAAAGAAAAAACATTACATTAATCAAAAAGAGAAACAATTTTATTTCAAATTTTGAAAATTTTCAAGATTTTTAGATATTATTTCCACTGTTCAGTGTGATATTACAAAGATATCTGGACAGTGGAAATAAATAATAGAGTGCCATATCATTTGCATAAAAACATGTCTCCAACAATTTGTATCAGCAAGTTAGTTAAAGTATTTGTTTGATACTTCAACTGTTTTATTTTCTTATTGTGAATTTTGAAAACAAAAGAGTTTAATAAGAAGCTCCTTAACAAGAATGGTTAAGAAATGGCAAAAAGGGAAATCTGTGCAGGATCTTGCAGAACTGTTCCACATTCCAAAATCCACAATTCAAGATACCATTATGAAATTTCAAACAACAAATACTGTAGTTAATAAGGCTCAAACTGGACATCCTGAAATATTTACCTCAAGACAAACCTGTCATCATCAGGAAAATGAAGAAAAATCCACGAATAAGTGCTTTAAGCTTTCTGCTAAGCTTCTATAGAATTTGGAGTACAAACAATTGCAGAAACTGTTAGAAGAATTTTAAGAAAAGTGATTATAAAAGTTGTGTTAACTAAGAAAAACCATTTATCAGTAAAAAAAAAATTAGAAAAGGTTAAAGTTTGCTAGAGTTTATACAAAACCAATAATATTTGGGAACTCAGTTTTGTGGTTGGACAAATCCAAATTCAATGTTTTTGGTTCAGATTGTAACCTAAAAGTATGGAGAAAATCTAGAGAATCTTTAAAAATGAAAAACCTGAATTCTACAGTAAAATTTGATGACAGTTCAGTGCTGGTTTGGATTGTATGTCTGCAAATGATGCTGAAACTCTGAAATTCATTGATAGAATAATGAATCAACATGTGTATAAACAGATTTTAAACAAAAATTTTCTTAAATCAGTAAGAAAATTAAAGGTAGGGTAAGAGTTTGTTTTCCAGCATTACAATGATTCAGATCACCAAAAAACTGTGAATCAGGAGTTTCTTGATGTGCACCATATAAAAATGCTTTCTTGACTTCCAAAATTGCCCAACCTCAACCTGATTGAGCATTTATGGGATCACATTAAACAAACCATTACAACAGAATCAATAACAAATAAAACTAATCTTAAAAACATCATAATCAGAGTTTGAAATTTAATAGACAAAACTTACAAAAATCTTGGTTGAATCAATACCTAGTTGTTTAGAATCTATAATCAGGACAAAAGGAGGTCCAACTCATTTTTAAAAATATAAAATTTTCACATCACAAAAGTATCCAGACAGAAGTTTTTTTTATAATATATAAAAAAAAACTTCTGTCTGGATACTTTTGTGATGTGAAAATTTTATATTTTTAAAAATGAGTTGGACCTCCTTTTGCCCTGATTATAGATTCTAAACAACTANTTTTAGATATATGGATAATTTTGTGGCTTAGTATATAACACAGTTTTTATTGAGATATTAAAAGCAAAAAACTTATTTAAAAAGTTATTATGAATTTTTAATATATTAATAAATAGTTAATATATATGTTACTGTGAATGACCAATATCTGGCGAATGTCAACATTCTCTGGTGAATGTCAGCATTCACACAGTCGTTTCATGTATGTACGAAATATTTGCTAAATATCATTATTTCTCACTTACACCGGCAAATGTCGACATTCAGCATGCACTGATGGTGAATGTTGAATAAAAATATTTTTATTACGTTAAGACAAAAATGCAACATTTTAATATGTCAAAATAGGAGAAAGCTTAAGTAACAGCACATTTAAATAAACTGTTGAACCTAAAACGAACAGTACATTCTTAATCATTAAAGAAAACAATACAATAATAAACTTACACCTGAATTATGTGATTAACATTATACAATCTATTTATTGCAACAACTGTTATGGCACTTTGAATTGGACAAGAGTCCCTTGCTTTTACAACTGCATTTATTCGTGGAACACTTGTTTTTGCAATGACAGCGTGTATAGCCTTGCCCTCCACTTTTCGAATTAGTTGCAGCTGCTTCTCTGGGCGATATTTCTTGAAAGAAATCTCATCTATAGAAAGTAACTTTTCTTTACAAATTACGAACTGATTATGTTATTATGTGATTACGAACTGATTATGTTATTATGTGATTACGAACTGATCTGTTAATGGTATCTTTTATTCGGATATTGCCAACGCCTTACAGACGACCCCTCTCAATTTCCGCCACTCGACCTGACAAACCGATCCCCCACCTCACAAGATCAAAAGAACAAAAATGCCATCCAGTGACAAAGTGGGCAGTTTCCACCAAACCATTGCCGAAAAAAAGGTACGACCATGTCCTACCTCCGGCTATCCACAAAGTATTTGGCGACAGACTGTCACCTCTCTGTCAACATCAACTTCTTGAGTGTCGTTTCGACCTGCACCAAAGCTTATCTGTGCTTGTCGACATACACCGGCTATTGTTCGAATGTATAATAATATAACCAAATATTCAGACTTTCACCAACGTATTTTGCACGTGTCGACATTCACCAGAGAATATCAACATTCTCTAATTTCGGTCTTTCACAGTAATATATATATAATCAAATAAAATTTTTATTTGTGTTTAATATTTTCAATAGATATACTGAAATGTCATTTGAACCAACTCAAATTTTTAACTATTCAAAAACTAGAGAAAAATTATGATAGCCCAAATATAATCTGTCTCACTTTTTGTATCATTTGAACTATTAATAAGTTGAACAATTGAGTTAATAAGGTCAGAACATTTTTTTATAATTTTTAAAAATTATAAAGATACCTGAGGATCTTTGGTGATATCAGGCAATTTATAACCATATTTCTGTGAAAGAATAAATCTTTCCTCTGCAATTTTTTCTGGATCAGCAAGATAACCTCTAAATTTAGGATCTGTATAATATTTTATAGCATCTTCAGGAGGTAATTTTCTTTTTGGTATGGGTATGCCTAAAAAAATAAAAATTTTTTATTACTACTATTGAAATAAGTGAAAAATAATTTGTAAATAATTACAATAAGTTGATTCTACTGTATTTAAGTTATCACTTTTAATCTTGTTTATTCTGATGATGATAACCACACAATAACGTAGTACATAAATAAGACTACAGTTATTAGAAATTCTATTCTTATTGACTGGCATTAAAACAATTAAAATTTGTATAATTTTAAGATTTACTAATTAATATGTACTACATATTAATTAGTCAAGAATTGTTTGCTTGCTATCTTTAATAATAGTAATGTATAATTTAAGTAAGAAATGCTAACAAATTAACTAATACACTGCATGGAAATAATAATTAAAACATTTAACTTTTAAAGCATTGGTTAACATTGATAATGACCACCTATTACTAGTAATGAATTGCATGTTATCAGTTTATGTTAAGTCCATGACAGTACAGTACAAAAAGGCAGCTTAAGAATGCATAGTCACCTGAAGATGATAATGATAACTGAAATTTTATTACAATAAACAGTTTTACAAATGTATTTTATGTTTCAAGACATGCTAATTCTGATAACATTAGATGATTCTGTTAAGTATAGTTTACTTGTGTAACCAATAACTTAGCTTTAAAAAAATTGCTCACAATTCAAAATTGGATTTACAAATATGCCATTAATAAAATAACATTTTCTCATTACAAAAAGTATAATAACATTTCATTAATCTATATTGTTATTTTACGACAATAGTTATTTTTACTCAGCATTTCAAGAAGACAGAAGTTCATAGTCAATGTAAGAAATAAACACTCATTCAAATCTGTCAATTACACCATTGATGATGACAGCTCTTAAACTTATATGTTATTATAGGTCAAGGGTAGTCAACCTTTTTATACCTACCACCCACTTTTGTATCTCTGTTAGTAGTAAAATTTTCTAACTGCTCACCGATTCCAGAATAATGGTGATTTATAAAGTAGGGAAGTAACTTCACTTTATAAAATTTATAAAGCAGAGTTACAGCAAGTTAAAACATATAATAATAATTACTTACCAAATACTTTATGTCAGACTTTCACTAAGTTTGGCAGAATAAATCTTTATAAAATAACTTACTGTAGTTAAATCTATCTTTTTATTTATACTTTGCATACATAGAAGCATGAAGTCTGATGAAATTATATTTAATTAATTAAATTATTAATGAAATCCCTGAGGCTGATGCTGCAAAACTAAATACTGGATATCTAGCTCAATTTTTGTAAGGAACAAACAAAGGTCTCTTCTTTTGGAAATATTCAGGCAGTTCTTTATTTGGTCATACTATGATTAACAGCACTAAAGCCTGATTCCACAAGATATGAGGTAGGGAAAGGTATCAATAAACTGAATATCATTTTTCACATATTTGGATATAAGACAGGCATTTTTTTTTATTTTGCCATAGGTTTTCATATCCACCACTATCGAATTTATGTTTACTTTCTTCATCATATCTAATTTCTAACAGTTCTTCTTGGCAAGTTGTATCAGCCTCTTTAATATTTGAGGTAAAAGGATTTTTCATCCAGTCATACACCTTCAATTTCAAAATATCTTCAAATTGTTTTTCCATGTCCAATTTAAGTCCATTGAGGTGGCTACTGAATCTGTCAATATCCTCTGGAGTTACATCATCTTTTATAGATGACTAGCTTACCCGTCGCGCATTGCTGCGATCTCAGAAGAAAGGAAATTCAAGCAAACTCGTTATGATAAAATTCAATTTACATTTTACTATTTTTATTGAAACTTATTATTATTATTCATTTTCATTGGGAAAACATTTCAAAGTGTCGTTTCAATTCTATTTATTTATTGGAGTGTTTGTGGATACACGATATTTTTTTGTTTTTCCCTCTGGTGTGTACACGAATAAATCGGAAGGTTTTTCGATGCGTGAGCCGGCCACATACAGTTGTCCATGCGAGAAGCACGGATTCTCCAAATTTAGCCCACACACTCGCTGCGATTGTCAGAAGTGCGATATTCCCCATTTTTATATATATTTTTAAATCCTTTATAATTTTCATTATTTAATTGCTCCTTCCTCTCTTCCTTGGCATGTTGTGAAATTTCTGATAGTTGGATAATAAACCGTTTTATTGTAATTTGTCTTTTTAAATTATTTTGAGTCGATATTAAAATTTGGAAAAGGGGGGATACCTAGATCGGTAAAATACGCGAATTTCTTCCTACAACTTCGGTTGTTGTTCGGGGTACAGTTAAGGTTTTAACGAAGTTCGAGCGAATACATAATTAGCAAAAAAAAGTTGAAATAAAGTGATTAAACAAAAATTATTACAAATATCGTAAATAACAGTTCACAAATGCATATATAGAGATATTTTTTGAAGGGGGGAAATGGTCTTCACAATTTGAAATCGATCGAACACACTGTGCTCGAATGCTCGTGTAAACGCGCGCCATCTATCGTAGGATAAATGTACTTCGCGGGAGTGTATTAAAAAATAAAAAAAACTTTCCAAAGTTTTATGGCAATCGTACTATGCCACAAACCTTCGCCAGAGTATATTAAACAACTTCCCAAAGTTTCACGGCAATCGGATAAACGGTGTGGTAATGCATAAAGGACAGACAGACAGACAGACAGACACACACACACACATTCATTTTTATATATATAGATAATTCAGGAAACTGATGAAATTCTCTCTTCAATAGATTATAATGAAATAGTTCAAGTTTGTCAATAAATAATGACACAATACTTTCGCAATCTATATGAGTTTTATTAGCTCCTTGAAGCTGCAAATTGACATCATTAAATCTCATGAAAATATTTGTCAAATAAAAGGCATCATTCTTTACTGTTTTTAACTGTTGACACAGATTACTCATTATCATCATTATTACTTTCAAAAAATTGTATGACACTATCATATAATGCTACAAAATGAACCAAAGATGTACCCTTTGACAGCCACCAAACTTGTGTGTGCAAAAGTAATGTAATAAAATCTTCATTATTGTCCTGGCACAGCTGTTGAAACATTATATCATTTTTTTCATTGGATTTGATCTTGCTTACAGCTCAAATTATTATAGTTAATGATGAATGGAGACTTGTACTTAGATGTTTTCCTACAAGATGATGTCTGTGCACCACATAATGAATATATAAAACATTTGACACTTCTTCCTTCAAACAAGAAATAAATCCATGATAGCGACCTACCATTGATGGTGCTCCATCAGTAGCGCAATTAACAATATTATTCAAAGGAATAATATTTTTTTGTAAAGTATGATTTCACAATATTAAATATAGATAATCCTCTTGAATCTGTAATGAGATTTATTGTGAATAGCATTGTACAGTACATATGCCATCAATAAAGCATTATCATCTGCAATGGTAAACTTGTCCAATTGCATGGAAAATGAAGAGTTTTGGAGAATACTTATAAGTTTTTTTCAACATTAACCGCCATTTCTTCAATTTGTCGCTTTACTGTGCTATCGCTTAGGGGTAACATTTTTAAAACTTCAGGTAAAGCCTGATACATTACTGTTGAGATAAATTCTTTTATAGATGGTATTATTAAAGTTTCTCCAATATTATAGCTTTTACCACTTTTTGCAATTAATTGTGAAATGTGATAAGCAGCAATTACTCCATCTTTGTTTGCTGAATGTTGTTTCTTAAATGATGCAACAACTGTTGAACAATTTTGAAATTTTTTATATATTTCCTGAAAATATTCAATGGACTTGTCCTTATCATTTGGATGCTTTGTAAAAAGATTTTCTTGCAATTGACTTGGCTTCATTGCCTCATTCGATAATGTTTTATGACACAATAAACACATTGGATGTTGTTTATTTACAACAGATTCTATGAAATCCATCTTCAGATATTCTGGCAAATAGCCACGAGCGTATTTCTTTTTTTGAGACACAGGCTCAGAATATTTCACGAGATAGCCTGATTATATCAATATCCCATTTTTCACAGAGAGACTTAGCCTTTTGTATTGCCTTTTCACAGATCTTGTCTCGAATTTCTGCAAGTTCAGTCGCTAATGATTCAAGATCATGGAATGCTTCTCTAAAATTCATTTTAGGATCTTGTAATCTGAGCTGCGCTCGATCAATTCTCCTCAAGATTTTATGCCAGAAATGGACTAAACTTATGAAATTAAAATTCAGTGTATTTTGCAATAAAATTGTAGCTTTACTTCTGGTGTCACTTGTGGTAGAACTGTCCTCTGCTAATTTTTCTAATAGTTCTATTAACTTTTCCAGCCCATCAACAATAACTCTAACCGCTTGTGCTCTGGCACTCCATCGTGTTTCAGATTCACGTTTAACAGTTTTCTTTAAAGCATTTTTTAATAATTCCCATTGAATTATTAATGTGAGAATGTGAGATAAAGAGATATATATTGTCAATTATTCCAAAACATGTTACAACAATTGGATCTTGCTTAGCTGCAGTAACTCCTACTAAATTTAAGGAGTTGTTATCACAATTTACAAATAATGCTTTATTATTTTTCTATAATTCTTTGTTGAACACCAGATATGTGACCTGACTGACATCATGGCAGCGTTATCATAACATTGTTATCTACAGTTTGTTAATGAAATCTGATCAAAATTTAATTTTTCTAAAATAGTATTTTCAATTGAGGATGAATCTTTAGCATGTATTTCAATAAATCCCAAAAAAGATTTTTTGATAGAAACTTTTCTGTTGGTAAAATCAATATCTACATACCTAAAGACTTGCGACATTTGTTCTCAATGAGCGATATCAGAAGTCAAATCAAATAAAAGTCCATACTATTTATTTCTTTTGATGTCACTTATTAGTTGATTTCGAACTGTGGATGCCAGAAGATGAATAAATTCATTTTGAATTTGTGATGATAGGTATAAGACAGTTCTTGGTGTTTCCATGACATTTTTAAAATGATTTGCTAATA